GATGTTCCGTTCGGAGGCCCATGTGGGGCACTCCTCCAGCGTATGCTGGGCGGAATCCTGGTCAGTCGGAATGTGGTGACGCACTTCTGCTGGCTCAACCAGACTTCGAGGTTGGGCAGGATCGCGCCGACGGCGTGCTGGCGCGAGATCCACGGTTGTTCCATCTTCTCGCGCTATTTCTCGAAAGCCAAGCGGAGAAAGCTGCGCCGCCGGAAGGCGGTAGCAGGAGCGCAGGGGCACTCTCTTGTAACATCTTATGTTATACCATGTTTTAAGCAAATAAACGAATTATTATTGTTATTTAAAAAAAATCCAGCGGGGGAAACCGCTCCAGGACAGTCGCCGCGTCAAAGGATACGGTGCGGTATCCTCGTGCGATCCTTACGGACATGGGGCGTTGCACGCCATTGAGCATGGCTCTGCAACGCCGGACGCCCGTCAGTCGGTGTGACCAGACGGGTGCCCCATACAGAGCCACGGACCCTGAGACCTAAATTGACAAGTCACAGTTCAGATTTCATTTTGTCAACTCGGCGTGATGATAACAAACATCCATCCAACGCATTTTTTTCATTTATACTATTAGTTTATTACCAAGTAACGGGACGAACAAGTCGTGCGCCCGAGTGGTAAGCGACACGCTTATACAAAACCGTTGCAATGTCACTCAGAACTTTAAATCACAAAGATCGTAGGGGCATTTGCCTGTAATTTCACCAGCACCCTTTGCACCAGAAGCAGGTAAGGTGGCAGTACTTCCCCGTATGAACTCTTTCACAAGGAGAGTTACATCTATTTATTGGTCACTCTACGTGTCAACTAGTTAGGTACAATTTTGTTATTACAACTTACAACTTTAATTATTTTTACTAAAGTACATGGACGTATTTAAATAAAGTACGTATTTTAAATACAGTATATTATGTATAAATAGATATATATTCATGTAAAGGCGATTCAGGTAGTATAAAGTAGCCTTTTTATTATAGTGAAAAAGCTAACTAAACTAAAGCGCTCTTTAAATTTTTAAGAGAAAACTTGCTGGTTTAAAACTCTTTAGAGATGTGTGAATTAAACTATATTGGGTCGGTATTGAGGGCTTTGTCTTGGCTTAAGGTCTCTTCTTAGTGGAAATCTGTGCCCGTTCAGGCAATACAGAACTATATAAAAATAAAATAAAAACAAACACAGCCAGTTAGTAGCTATGTAATGTACTATTTTACGGTTATGATTTTAACAACGATTGCGATAGTCATCTCGTCGCTCAATTTTCAAATTTGGAACGCAATTTTTTGTCACATGGTGATAAAAAAAAGCGTTTCCCATGTTGACAGGATATTGCGAAACATCCACGTGATAAATAAAGTTTACTAGTCTATTTATTATTCGTCCACATTACATACATTTTTCATCTACACTGCTCATAGTTACAAGAAATATGAATTAATGTAAGATATAAAATACTGTAACGCCCAATCGATCCTTAAAAGTTGAAACCTTGGCCCAATACAGGTGGAGTTTTGTTAAATTTTCACTTAAACTTAATTTAAAAATCATTTAAAATAAAAAGGTATAGTATAGTATAGTATAGTATTCTTCGGGTCTAAATCGTGTATATTTATTTTTCCAATCAAAACCTACGTTTCGGACTCTTTGCAGGTTGATTGAGATGGGGCGCTAGTGTAAGAATGGAGGAACTAGTTTGACGGAAAGAAAAACAAATGAGGAGTTTTTAAGAATAGTGTAAGGAAGGAGAAGCGTACTAAACAAAGTTAACTTAACTTATTAATTTTATTTTTCAACACTACATAAAAAACTTAAAATAGTGAAGAAAAGGTTTCACATTGTGTATAATGTAGAACTACAAGTAAATTAGACACCGCAGTATGTACTTTCTAATTAAATATATAATTAAGAAAGCACCTCACTCACCATAATTATACACTATTATCATTGACTTACAAATAAATGGACGACGGGTCTAATACAAAAACCACGAAAAAAATGTCCCAAGTCAACCTATTTAAACGTAGTGACATGTAAAGGAATATGAAAAAGCTAAAACGTTGAATTTAAATTGTAATGTCATCGCAGTACTGTCTAATTTTGCTTGCTTCGCTGTCAGTCGAACAAACGAAGACTAGAGCGTGAATGACGCTCTGTATACGATTTTAACACCCTATAAGTTCGGACACTTTTTAGGACCCGACGTCCATATAAGTGTTAGTCAATGACTATTATGTATATATAGAAATTCCAGTTAAATTTTTTATACCAAACTAAAAATGATACACGCACTCTTTTTGCTGCATGGCCACAGCAAAAAGAGTAAAAAGCATTTTACTGCATATACATATAGAATAGAACAGGCAGAGAATAAATTTAATTGAATATTATTAATTACAATTATATTTTTATTTATTGTATTAACCTAGCAGAACCTACTTTACCTTCAACCAACAGCACGAAGTCTTCTATTGTTTCAGCAGCCATTCTTTATAGTAGTGTATATGTACTTATTAAAGAGAGAAAGAACAAAAGAGGATAGAAGGAGGCAGGAGGCAGTGCCCCCTCAAGGGCACTGCCACAGCGCCCGTCACCCTGAGACATAAGTTGACAAGTCCCATGTGCCTGTAATTTCACCCTTCAAAACTGGAACACAATTGTGACGGTGTGACCTCCTTATACCGTCAACCCACCTTTTTGTATCGACTCTCTCCGTTCGTATCGTATCATTTTTTCTTCTTCTACTCATATTTAAATTTAAAATTGTTCCATTTTACCTCGCATTCTGATTTTGTTTCTTTCCATCGTCACTGTCTGCGCGACCGCGGTAGCGAACATACCATAATTTATCTTTTTGAATCGTTTACTAGCTATATTTATACAGTTTACATATTAAAGATTATATTTGTTAAAACCGATTAAATAAACCGATTAAATATCTATAAACTGGACTTTCAACGTTTGAATTTCTAAATTTACTAAATAAGATGTTGGAGGCTGCGAGGCTGCGGAGGCTATTACTGCTATCCAGGCTACACATCATTACAATCCACCAGAACGCCCCCAGCACCAACAGCACCTCTACACAGTAATTCTAACATTACTGCTTGGCGACAGAAATAGGTAAGGTGACAGTACTACCCTGGACGAACTCTTTGAAAAGAAGGTCTACTGCCACTACTCTTTCAATAAGCATTGTGCCCTCTAAGGAGAAATGAAGGAATGCGTAACGTGTTTCTGCATTTTTAAAATGATTTAGCATCAAATTTTTTGCAGTTAAGTCTATATTCCGATGGTTATAGGCGTCGAAAACGAATATCCTATCAGTTAAACAGTATGTTTGTTCTATGATTTGAGTAATATAAAAAACAAATGAAGCGCCCTCTAATGCGTAGTAGAGATCGAGGCGTAGAGATTTCAAAATTATAAAATTATATTTGTTGCACACCGCCGCTGCGGTTTTGGTAGAAATAGGACTTATTTCGCGTTTCCAAAAAATGTTTAATGAAGAACGTCTCCAGTAATGATTTTGACTTTTATGGTATACACTCCCGTAATAATTCAAGCCAATTTGCATTTTCAGTATTAAACATCTTAAGCATAAACAATATTTGATTGCTCAAAAACTATTATGCAAATTTTGAAACTGGTATAATAAACATTTGAATTTGCAGAACCGAAGCAAACTTTTCGATGATAACATTATTTTTTTTTGCAGGCCTTTAAGAATAAATATGAAAGATAGTTCGAATGTATGTATTTACATACTTCCTATTACGCATAATGTGTGCATTGACTTTCCAGGATTTTGTACAGGCAAATGAGTGCAATTGTAAGACGTCTCGTCATTCTCAGCTTGTCATAGTAGCAAGTTGGCATGCGTCGGCATGCGTCAACGCATAGGAAGCGCGCTCATTAGCCCGTCTGTATGTCTGGTGCATCCGGCAACCGCGGAAGGTAAAAACAATATGCTACCAGCCTGTGTCCTATCAGATGATGTGATAATGATTTGCTTTATTTTATTTATTTATGAGCAGACTTATAGTCCTTTTATTTATAAGTATATATTGACGTATCGAGTTAGGTTTTCGCTATTGTTACACATAAGTGATTAAACTATTTAATTCGGATGTAAAATGCGTAAATTTCGTCAGTATTTTGTAAAAAGGGCGAGTGCGCCATTTCGAAAAATTTTTCAGGGAGTATATTTTAACGACTGTTTTAAATTCAATTTTAAAACTTAAACTTAAAACCAAAATTTACTTTATATCAGGATGTAAATATTTTAAAACTATCGTTAAAACTTAACACCTGCTCCCCATATAAAAATTTCGGAATGGCACTTTCGCCCTTTCTACAAAACAACGACGACTTGTTTTTTCAAATAAACCGTTTCGGTCCCTTTACAGGTCCCGTGGTCATATATCCAGCAGATAACAGATATACGCGATTTGTATTTAAAAAAATAATAATTTAATTTTTTATAGATATCGAGGTGTTGAGAAAAAATCTTAGGTTTTTTTTAGACGAGGGTGAGCAGGCAGTTGGTACCATGACAATATTAAGGACGTTCTAAATATAGGTCAGGTCAGGAGTATCCTTAACCAACGAGCGTGTTTGAAAGCACTGATATGTGTTGATGAGGCAATAGGTATGTGTCAGGATCGTCGCAACTACAAGGCAATGGTCTTTTCCAATCTCGATGGGAAAATGTATGTATAGAAGTATATTATTTTTTTTAAATATACAATCAATTATTTTATTAACCCCATATCCAAAAGTTCTTTATATAAAAATTGCAGTGCAAACAATCAGTATTTGTTCGTTTACATCTAAATTTGTAATTCTATTATCCACTTTTAATGTGGACTAATTCTTAAAATTAGAAAATATATGCTGAACACGTTTTCATTTTGTTTAATGAGTATGAGAGGTAATGAGTTAAATCATTTTAGTCTAGGCTATAAAATTTCAAAGTAGATCAGTGTACTCACAACGGCACGGTCTGGTAGTCGCGGATGCTGCGCGGGCGCGCCGCCGGAAACGGAAGTCACGGGCGCGTTCACGCGGTCATCTGTGGAAAAATGGACGCCCGTCAGAATTGCTAGGTTGGTCACTACCTGTGATTTTAATTAGTAAAATAAATGCTATTAGAAATCTAGAGCAGTGACTGTAATATAAATATTGTAAAAGCCCTGTATGCAATTGCTAAACACTGATTTTCTCTAATGAAAGAGGCCTTACCCCATCACGTAATCTTCACATATTCTTACCTGAGGATCTACAATAATATTTATAGATTCTTCAATCAATTACATTGGTCTTCTGTTCAATTATTTTTTATCCTTTTAAATTTTGTTTAACACGGAATATATAGGTATTCCACATTAAATAAAGTTTATATACTATGTATATTGTTTTAATTATTTGTAGTCTAACTACTATATTGTTTAATCAACTATTAAACAATATACATGTTTATAAACTCGTACCTTGATACAATTAAGCAATATGTGATCATATATTAAGTGCTTTTACCACACGAAAGTTATTAAGTAATACAAACTACATGAAACAAATTACGTGTATTTTATGCTTAAATAAGTATAAGAAAGTTATCGACTAATTTCGTTCGTAGAATGTTTAAACCTTAAAACCTATTTCCTAAACAGTATCATTTTGTAGATAAGGCCTTATTTGGCCGCCAAGCAGTAATGTCAACATTGCAGCGTTTCGGTTTTGAAGGATAAGGATGCTAGTGAAATTACAGAACATAGGTTTTGTCAATTTATTTATGTCTTTGGGTGACGGATGTAGTTTGTGATTTGTATATCTGAGTGGCGCAGCAACTGTTATGGACTGACGTATCGCTTACCACAAGGCGCACGACTTGTTCGTCCTGCAAATTGGTACCATAAAAAAAATATTACACTAAGGATGTGAATTAGATATCCAATTATAATTGTACCCAACATTCATTAGATAAGTATTATAATAGAAAGAAAAACAGTAAAAAAATATTAACGTTATTTTTTGCTCAAACTATTGCTACGGTGCTGTTTTGAAAGACAGTGCTGAAAAAATAACATAGTGGGAATATCTATTGTACGAACAACACATTTCAACTGTTAATTTCTTGCAAACTAATAAAGGCTAAGTAAAGTTTAGACTTTTCGAGTTGAGTTGTAATATCAGCTATCGAGTTAAACTCCAGTAAGCTAGTTTTTCAGGAAAGTTCATCCAAGTGCAAGGTCGTGTCGTCGGACACTTTCGTTCCGATGGAAAGCTGTGGGACGCGTGACATTAGCGAGGCGTGACCCCACGGCGTGACCCGCTGTGTTGCCATGAAATCCGGCAAATCGCCGTGCGCCCGCGCATTCGACCAACGTGCTTTATTTGACGTTGGGTTGTTTAGATTATACGACGATAGAATGACAATAGAGCCTCATTAGTAAATATACGTATAAAAGTTATGCTTCATCGCTAAAATACTGACTAGAGAGATAAATGATGCCAAAGTCACTAAAGAAATGCTGCGTCGTCGGCGTATCGTAATCGTTTCTATATTTTTCTAAAAAATCGTCACATGTAAATTGTGGTTAATGTCCACGAAAGTGTGGATGTGTGACCGAGGCGCGGGGACACTCGCACGGTCCTAATCGCTCCACGAATTAGAGAATGCTTTTGCAATAATTACATTAATAATGGCGTCGGTAATGTGGTCGAAGTGAAATTGTGGTTCCATGGAAAGTTGTGGGATTGAAATATCGATATATACTTTGGACATTAATCGAAATGGAATTGAACTCTTTGCCTAGTTAAGAATGGGTAATTTGTTCTGTGGTTGTAGGACATAGCCATTAAGGCATATAAAAACAAATTAATTTGATAATTATTTGCAAACTTTTTAGAAAATCATGAATAAGATTTTCTAACATAAAAAGTTTGCAGTACGTGAACAATTCATAAACTTTTTTGTATAAAAAGGATTTAGGAAATGACATGACAGTCAATCAATCAATCGTGACCATGGGACCTGTAAAGGGCCCGAAACGTCGGTTTGTTTGAAAAAACAAATATACACGATTTCCGGACACATAGGAAATGAAACTATTTTTCCGAAATCCGGAAAAATAGTTTCATTTCCTATGTGTAACAATTGCGAAAACCTAAGAACTCAATAAAAAGGATTTGTTAAAGCAAAATCTGACCAAACTTTTAAAACTGTATTTAGATTTGAACAGTCATTATGGCACGGAATTATTATAAGCTGATTTAGCCTATTGATGACAAGAATATTGATGTTGTACGGTCTGTCTGTACAAATTTTAGGTCAGGAGGAGTCGTCTGATCAAAATTAGGATTTAGTCAACAGCCCTCGTCGTCTTTTGTTCAAAATAAAGTCAGTCTGCTTTTGAATTCTTCTCAGTCTAGTGAATCTGCCTTTGGGCCAGTCAGTCCCTTGGTCATCCATGGAGACTGACGCCACAGATGCCAGTACTAACGCTAACTTTCAATGTCTAACTGTAACTTGTCAGACTTTACCTAAAGACGAATATGTAACAATTTTAGTATAGTTAAAATATATTTTCAAAAAATAGAATATAATGACTGAGAGCGGTCGATTGACGAGTGGAAAGGTGACAACACAACAATGGCGTCGTGACGCGTCGCGAGACCGATGCGCGTGAGTCGCGACTTTCCAAACACGAGAAATCGCTTCAGTAACGGTCATTCGAGACGTTTTTTTTTAAATTTTTTACTAAATGCGATAATGTCAATTATTTACTATCTAAACTATTACGCGAATATTTTTAATTTAATAAATTTGTTTTCTGAATGTGTATTATGCTTATGGAATTAGAAATTACGAAATAATAATATAATGCGTATAAAATATTTTCTGATATTAATATTTAGAAACGAGAAATTAGCAGAGATTATGTAAAAAATAGCCTAAAAATAATATTAACTTTATTGGATATGATGACGTTCTGACGCTTTCCCAGCTTAGATATGGAACGAATCGGCAGACTTTACGAATTTTTCTATGTGTTTCTTGTAGATATTTGTTTTTGGTTTTTAACGAGTTAGTAAGTAATAAGTGTACTGTAGAACCTAGTCCAAAAAATATACTGAAATGGTAGCTTCAAATGTATTACTAAATATTTTAATTAATAAATGCTACAACTAATTTAAATAACAACACAATTTGAGGAATAATTTTAATTCCATACGTTTAAAAAACAAAAGTATGAAATTTGCTGTACCACGTGCGTTGGTACGCAGTATTGGTATACCAGTAAAATAATTCCAGCACAGTCTTGTCCAAAACCGTGAATAATAATCCACTAAAATCTGATATAAAAACATGTAGGATAATTAATTACTCGGGGAGCGGACCCCATGAGGGCCCTATCCATAAAGTATTGAGTTCCATTTACTTTGCAATACAAGTACATGTGAGCACGTAAAATGCGATACTTGATGAACTGTTTATGTCATGGAAGCGGGTTTGTGCAAGCATTCACAGATTTGGTTGGGGTAGCAATGTACTGTTGCTTACAGAAGTGTTTCGTACGAACGTTTAAGGACAATAATTTATTATATCATCATCAACCTATTTGTTTATAGGGTTTAGGCCATAGTATGCCACCCTGGTCCAATGCGGGTTGGAGAATTCACACGTTTTCCAAGGGCTGTGAACCATCGTCGACGTACAGGTTTCACCACTGAAAAGCTCAACGTAAATTTGAAGTTAATTTACGCACGTAAATTCCGAGAAACTCAGAGGTACGAACCCGGATTGGAACCCATGGCCGTTGGAACCGACGGTTATTTAAACAGATTTTATTTTGATTATGCTAATTTATTTTCACATTCGAGTGGTTCAATGTACTTAGAAACTTAAAGCATCCCGTTTCAGCAGTCGACACGCCATGAGAAATATATCTCTTGAAGACAAATTCTTTGCACACAAACATTATTTTCGTGTGCAAAGAATTTGTCTTAAAGAGATGCATTTCTGTATAGATATAGTGTTTCAAATATCTATACAACTTCTTTATATATATATTTCATTGCAAGTTTTCGGAATACTCTAGTTTGTAAAGGCGATTCAATAGGGGTGTTATTTAAGTTAAAGCCACGATAAATCTTAGGTTATAACCAGCTTCGTAGGCGAGTGTACCGGGGCGGGGGCTGGTGGGGCGCACAGGGGAGAGCACACCTGGCCGGCGCAGCTGCGCGCGGGCAAATCTCACGCGCAGCTTCCTCGCCGCGCATGCGTGAACACGCACACATTCTCGTGGTCACGATGTGTACATAGCACGGCGGGTACATTAAGGTAACTTACATAGACGTAATGCGCAGTTAGTTTCTTCAATACAATTCCTATTCAACGAGAGTAATATGAGGCAAAAATGTCACAATAAGGTTTTGGTAAATCGTTTATAAAGCGTTTTAGTGATGTTAGTAGGTAACGTACAGTATCTTCATTAAACACGTTCAGTTCCTTTAGGAATGTTTGAGGGCTGTTTAAATAATCTTACACATAATATCTCGAAGCCCTAGATAACGTAGAGATCTTATCACTACGCAAACTTCTCTTTAAGCGTATACTTGTAGACCCGGTTTTTCTAAGTTAGAGTTATCACATATTTTTGTTAAATTATCAAGATGGTTTAGGGTAAGCTCAGAACAAGTCAAAACAATGTGAAATTGTTCAATGTTGATTCGCCATAGTCACGAGTGGTACCTGCAATGTCGAAAACGCACATTTACTGAAAGAGGTAAACACCGCAAGGCGAAAGCCATCGCAGCAGCGACAACTTGGTACGTAATAAAACGAATTATTACCCGATGGACCATTTGTATACTAGTACAAGACATTACCATAACAAAGCTACTAAAAGTACGTCTAAGCACACGTATTTATGTAACATAAAGGCGGAAGCCAAGTGACGTGCATTTTGAATAAGCCACCAGAAAACTGTATGGCCTTACGTATTCAATGAATCCCAACTCACTTTCATTGAATTCATTCAATCAACAGGTT